CTCTCGCTGTGTCTCTGTCAAATAAATAAAAACTTTAAAAAAAAATTATCCATCTTTACATTTCCAGCAAAGATTAGTACGCCATGAGTGCTCAATAAATTCTTAACCAAAACAAATGAATAATACATTTGTAGCAATATTAACAGGTATCTATGTTCTGGTTCTGGTTAAAAAAAAAAAAGGGAGTAAGCATAGTTTGTCCTGTCTCTTGGGTTGAATACAACTAAAAACCTGGACAGAATGCATGGAGCAGCTATCTAAAGTCTCTGAAAATGGCAGCAACTGGCCCGGAGCAGGAAACCACAACTAGAAGTTATAATAACCCCAAAGTGAGTTTCCTGGTTTTGTTTCCTCTGGGACCACTCAGCCTAGACTCAAAGGCAGTACAAATTCAGAATTGTCCACTAAGTGCAGACAGAAATGGCTCCAAAAGAATTCTTCTTGGTCTGAAGATCCATAAAGGGGGCCCCCTAGGAAGATGGGGTTTTCTGGGTTTTTCCCTTTTCCACTTGACCTGTGCCCCCAAGCCAAGGGCAGCAGCCTTGGCAGTGATAGTATCAGCAGTGGCTGAACAGGGACCCAAAACTCCAACAAAGCAGAATCCTTCTGTTCCCATAAGTGTGAAAGGAATCCACACGGCTTTCTTTCTCTGCCATCCTGTTGTTTGGCATCAAAGGCAAATGTGGTTGTGGAAGTATAAAGCAAAAGAGAAATAAAGCCCCAAATGTCTACCCATGGGACATGGAAGAGGGTCTCAAGGAGCCAGAAAGTATCAGGGAACTTGCAAAGAGAAAGCCGCTTGAGAAAGTGATACCATGAAGATCTATAAACACTCCTGGGGTCACTCCAGACACACGCAAATGTGTATCTGACACTAATCATACTATCAGGTTCCCAAATTAGCCACTAGGTGGTACACATGCAGAACACATCAGAACAGCTTTGCAAAGGCTTTGAAAACTAGACATTGGAATTTTAGTGAAGAGAAGATGGGTTCAAGTTTGTGATCTGAACCTAACAAAGTCAAATGCCTGCTTTAAAAAAATTGCCTCCCCCCACCATTCTCCATTGAATTTAACCTTGGCTTCTTGAAGCATAGTTATAAGAGTTGCTTTAAAATCTTTCTCTGGGGATGCCTGGGTGGCTCAGTTGGTTAAGCGTCTGCCTTCGGCTCAGGTCATGATCGCAGAGTCCTGAGATCGAGTCCTGTATCGGGCTCCTTGCTCGGCAGGGAGCCTGCTTCTTTTCCCTCTGCCTGCCACTCCCCGTTTGTAAGCATGCATGCGCTCTCTCTTTCTCTCTCTCTGACAAATAAATAAATAAAATCTTTTAATAAAGTCTTTGTCTGATAATTCCAACATCTGTGTCATCTTGGGTTTATTGTGTGTAGGTTGTCTTTTCCTTATGAGTTCTTGAGATTTTCCTAGTTCTTCACTTGTCAAGTGATTTTGGATTGTACATTAGACATTTTGATGTTATCTTACTCTATGTCTCTTTAAATGCAATGGAGAATGATTGGGGGGTGGATTTTTAAGGGTAATCTGCAGTATTTGTCTTTCTCTGACTTGTTTCACTATACAGCTAGTATACTATGGCAGATTTCCTTGTTTATGGCTGAATAATATTCCATTGCATACATATAGTAATTTTCTTTATCTGATCATCTGTTGTTAGACACTAAAGTTGTTTCCAGGTGCACCTGGGTGGCTCAGTCGGTTAAGTATCTATCTGCCGGGTGCCTGGGTGGCTCAGTCGTTAAGCGTCTGCCTTTGGCTCAGGTCATGATCCCAGGGTCCTGGGATCGAGTCCCACATCGGGCTCCCTCCTTGGGGGGAGGCCTGCTTCTCCCTCACCCACTCCCCCTGCTTGTGTTCCCTCTCTTGCTGTCTCTGTCAAATAAATAAATAAAATCTTTAAAAAAAAATTTAAAAAAAAAAGTATCTCTCTGCCTTTGGCTCAGGTCATGATCCCAGGGTCCTGGGATTGAGCCCCACGTCGGGCCCCCTGCTCAGCAGAGAGAGCCTGCTTCTCCCTCTCTCTCTGCTTGCTGCTCTGCCTACTTGTGCTCTCAATCTGTCAAATAAATAAAATCTTAAAAAAATTAATTAAAAATTAAAAAATAAAGTTGTTTCCATTTCTCAGCTATTGTAAATAATGCTGCAATGAATACAAGGGTGCAGATCTCTCTCCAAGACAGTGATTTCATTTCCTTTGGATATATACCCAGAAGTAGGACTGCTGGTAGTTCTCTTTTTAATTTTTTGAGGAACCTCCATACTGTTTTCCATAATGGCTATACCAACTTATGTAGCACAAAAAGAGCTTTTATATAGAGATATACACACAAAAGATGGTCAAATAAGAACAAAAAAGACTGATATACCTACTAAAAAAACAAAACCTGAGCTCACAGAAAACATATCTTCCTATAGTGCTGCCCAGATAAAACGTACAAAATTTTTACATTTTTCCCTTAATTTGTAAATATTTCTAACTGCCATACGGTTTACAAACACTGCAGAGCCATTCTATTTCATTTGATCCTCACAACAACCCAAGAAAGAGCAGAATAGGGATGCTTGGGTGGCTCAGTCGGTTAAGTGTCTGCCTTCGGCTCGGGTCATGATTCCAGGGTCTAGGATCAAGTCCCGCATAGGGCTCCTTGCCCAGTGGGGAGCCTGCATCTCCCTCTGCCTGCCGCTCCCCCTGTTTGTGCTCTCTCTCAAATAAATAAAAATCTTTAAAAAAAAAAAAAAGAGCGAGCAGAATAGGTTTAGTTATGTCTATTTTACAGGAAGAAAAGTAAGAGAAGTTACAAAGCATAGTCTGAACTTAGATGGCAAAACTCTTAATTCCCCAAGCTAAAGAGGATAATAACACTTTATACAAACGGTTCAATGATTAAAAATATATATTTATTTTGTTAACTAAAATATGCACTGGAATGATAAAAACTGTGCCTCTGTTGGATGGGTAGGTTCTTACTTACTGAGGCAAAAAAACTAACAGAATTGCAGAAATGTCACTTGCTATTTTGATTAAGATGAGAATGGAACATTCAACTGTAAAGGTCAGATAGAGACCTTTTTCTCAGAGGTCTACTTTGAAACATGACAAGATTAGCTTAATGAAAACATCAGCCTCCACATATGTCTATAATTAAGTCGTTATCTTGGGCGCCTGGGTGGCTCAGTCGGTTAAGCGACTGCCTTCGGCTCAGGTCGTGATCCTGGAGTCCCGGGATCGAGTCCCGCATCGGGCTCCCTGCTCGGCAGGGAGCCTGCTTCTCCCTCTAACCCTCCCCCCTCTCATGTACTCTCTCTCTCTCATTCTCACTCTCTCAAAATAAATAAATCTTTAAATAATAATAATAATAATAATAAAGTCGTTATCTTAAGAGGTAGGTTCCTGGCTCTGGCTTTAGTAATGAGCAAGTACATAAAAATGAAAAACAAGATCCTGGTGGGGCCTGGGAAGATTCTGAGTATTTTGAGTGTGTTTCGCAAACTCTAGTATTAATCAGGCTTGAGGCGCCTAGGTGGCCTCAGTCGGTTAAGTGTCCCGACTCTGGACTTGGGCTCAGGTGATGATCTCAGGATTGTGAGATAGAGCCCCACATCGGGCTGGGCATGAAGCCTGCTTAAGATTCTCTCTTTCCCTCTGCCTCACCGCCCCCCCAAAAAAAAGCTAGACAAGGGTGTTTCACCAACTTCCAATGATTTTTCATAGTATTCCACAAAGAAATTAATTCTAGGTGCTGAGTTACTATATAGTCATACCCCATACATAAAGTAACAACGGTTTCCCCAATGATAAAACATATTCATTCTAGAAAATTAAAACATACCAAAAAAAAGTTTTGTTTAATTGTATGTATTGTATGTATAGGGATTCTGCCATGAGAGAACAGGACTTAAGTTTTGGCATATTCCCTTCCAGGAGTTTTTCAGTAACATTGTACATACTTGAGATTTCTTCTGCATATACCAGTTCCTACTGTTCTATTATCACAAGCCCTTTTTTGCAAATCTTGAAACATTATTGATATATTTCACAGCAGCATAATGCTCCACTGGATGTGTATACATATACACACTAAATCACGCAGTTCATATTTCCTATTGTTGCATATCAGAATAACTTAAGGAGGCACTATATCCTAAGACACTATACCAACACAGGCTTAGAGTGAGACATCCTTATTTTACTCCTGACTCTACCATTTAGAGCTTTGTGACTTGGGAAAGTCAATCTCTGTGCCTAAATTTCATCAAGAAAATTAGAATAAGAACATCTTTAAATTATGGAATAACCAAGAGCATCAGAGAGAATATTTTGTTTTGAGCTGCTTTGCTGAGAACTGGAGAAATAGCAAATTCTCAATAACTGTGTTGTTTCTTTTTTTACTGTAACAAATGCCAAATGTTTCTGATTATTTTTAAAGTTTTCTAACAAGTGGAATTGCTGAATAAAGTTATTTTAATATTACCAAATTGCTATCCACCAGATGTATAGGAGTTTCACATACCATTAACCAGCATCTGTATCATTT